CACATATCATAACATAATCATATTGTCAGACATATCTGGGGTGTCCGACCTACCCTTCGGTCCTTACGACCAGACACGAGGACTATTTCACCTCCTACTACTACCACATAATATCATAGCATAAACATATTGTCAGGCATATCTGGGGTGCCCGACCTACCCTTCGGTCCTAACAATCGAACTTGGGGACTATTCCCCTCCTACTACCACTATCACATATAACATATAATGCTGGCACACAAACATATCAGGTAGTAGCAAACCAAGATGAATATCACAAAGACCATCATCTAACATACAACTCCTACTTGTGGGCCGACATTGTGGCGGTAGACCCACCACTACTGGAAGGTAACTCACCTCACACTACTGAAGTCCCGTAGACACAATCCCACACTGCTGAAGTCCCGCAGACTCAACCGCAGCTGCTGAATGACAGATTCCCGAACTGTCAATCACCAAAATAACACCCAATTAATAATTGGGTTCCAATACATAACCATAAGTCCATGCTTGGGGGTAAAAGACTACTTTACCCCTAACTTGGCTTGATTCAAGCCCGAGGCCCAATCCAAAGGCCCAAAAGTCCAACTATCGCTCAAAGCCCAACATATGGCCCAATTTTCCAAATTGGGCCCAAACCTTTATATGGTCTTATCCTGAGGCCCAACCAATTAGTCCAGTCCAACATTTGACATTCTAATGGCCCAATATCATATAATCATTAAGGCCCAAACTATGGCCCATCTATGGCCCAATTTTCCAAATTGGGCCCAACTCCTCATATGGGCCTTACCTCAAAGCCCATCAATTGTTCTAGTCCAATTGCTTGACCTTGGATGGCCCATTAATAACCCAATCATCAAGGCCCAAAAGGAAGGCCCAACAATAAACCCAAGTGAAATTAAGGTTTTCACATAAAATGACAATTAGGGTTACGTGTTTCTCACTTAACCCACTAAGGACTTAATCCATTAAGTTCATCACTCTACTAATTAAATCATATGGTGTGATTGGGCCTAACACACCATTCCATTCCAATGGCCCAAATGTGGGTCCCGATAGGTTCAAGCCCATAAATCCAATATTAGGTTTTTCTAACCCCTAATTAGGATTTCCAACCCCATCTTAGCCCATTAGGCCCAATAGCTAGGTCCTTTGACCAATTAGGTTCATTAGGCCCATTAGGATTTCACTAAGCCCACTAGTCACATGTTTGGGCTTTTAGGTCCATTAAGGCTTCATTGGGCCCATTAATGTCTCATTGGGCCCACTAGGGTTTCTTTGGGCCCATTAGGGTTTAGTAGCCCCTTTGTCCAAACATCAAAACGAGTCACAATCCAAACAGGGCACACTGCCACCCGACACGGCGGCCGGTCGCGGCAGGAGGCGGCAGCCACCACCCTCAGGTGGTGGTTTTCAATTTCTTTATATTATTCCATTTTTGTGTTACAAATTACAATGAAAATACCAAAGCAACACACACACTAACTAAGCTAAACATACACACACATAACCACCTTGTGGTGGCCGGCGGTGGCGCATGGCGGCAGCCACCACCTCACGGGGTGGCAGTGGTGGTTCTCGGTCTTCCAGCTAGGGATGAGCATTAGAACCGCCGGAACCGGAACCGAACCGGAACCGGAACCGGAATTGGTAACAAGGTCCGGTTACCGGCTCTCCATTTTTATGAAAACCGGTCCCGGTTCTAAAAACCGGAACCGGTTTGACATTTTTCCCATTTTTTAAAATGCACATAACTCACTCATATGAAGTCGGACTTATTTGATTTTTTCCAACATGTAAGTCGGAGTTATTTGATTCATTTTTGGTTAGATATTGAATCAATTATAGACCCCGGAAGACAACATATCAATGCTGCTTTTTTTCCGTTTCAACATTTTTTTTTGAAATCTGTCCCGTTTTTAAAATGCGCATAACTCACTCATATGAAGTCAGAATTACTTGATTCTTTTTTCATCATGTAATTTAGTGTTTGTACTTCAATTTAGAATGTAAAAAGTCATAATTTGGTTAAATATTGAATCATTTACAAGCTCTGGAAGATAACATATCATCTATAATACTTTAACCGGTTCTAGTTTGAAAAATAACCGAAAAACCGGGACCGGAACCGGAACCGGATCTAGAACCGGCAGTCCGGTTCTCACTTCTTATAATATAGGAAAACCGGTTCCGATTCCGAACCAGTCCAGTTCTAAAGCTCATCCCTACTTCCAGCTACACCAAACACCCATTCACACACTTCATGTTGCACTAAACACTTCAGCCACCCACATGGCGGCTCATGGTGGCGGTGGCTTTTCTCACGAATTCCGGCCAAAGAACCCCTTACATATTAAAACATACGTACACACACACTACATATCATACCCAACCATGCTAGATTCTTGCAAACGGATTCAGCCACCACCTGGTGGCGACAGGAGATGGCAGTGGCAGCAACCACAGGCGGCAACGGTGGCGGTTGACGTCGGTTCGCGAGGCAACAGTGGAAAAGTGTGGCGGAGGGCAACCGGAGTGCCTGAAATAGTTGCTTGACGGTGGCGGCGGCATCGAGCAATGCCTCTTCTGTCCAAACGTCCATCCACCGGTCATTCGCTGCCATGGCGGCTGGAGAAGTGGAGAGATAAGGGTGCGCCATTACCGGAGACGATAGAGGCACAAGCGGCCCCGACGTCGGCCTTGAATCACTTGTCTGTCGGCTGCAAACAGCAGCGATGGTGCTCAGCACGCTTGGTGGCTCACTACAACTTCACGGTGGTGGTAACATGGAGTTGGCGACGCCGGAGATGGTGGAGGTGAGTGAAACCGATGGTGCGGCGCCGGCAGTAGAAGAAGGGAGTGGCGAATGCTATTGATCAACTAGGTTTAGGGTTAAGGTAATGTAACAGGAAGAATGAAGGCATCGGGTTTAAATCCCGCTCCAATCAAAACCTTTGCATAATTTACAAGTTTGGACCCTCCCCATAAACATCTTTGCAAACCAAGGCCCATAATTTACTTTTCCTACCCTTGTTCCCACAATTCTTTTCATTTTAGATCCAAACATTACCAAACAGCCCCCTCCCCTACAAATTATTCTCAAATGGAGTCCATAAGCTACCATTCGGCCCCTAGCCTTCAAAATCTTTTCAAACTAAGTCCCAAAAATTTACCGAGTAGTCCTTGCCTTCACAATTATTTACGAAATCAATCTGAAACGCACACTTTTAACCCCCAACTTCTAATCTTGTGACAATTAGCTCCTCGAGACCATCCTTTGATATATAATTATTTATTTTAGGGCTACCATTTGTTCATTAATTAATTTATTTATCTAATAAATAAACAGCGTATTACAGTCCTGGACCAATCTAGGTTAGGGGTAAAATGGTCTTTTTACCCTAAGTATGGATTTATGGTTATGATTGGAACCCAAATGTCAATTGGATTTTAGTTGATATTGATGATGGGTTTTGAGCATTCTAACACTCCTATGGTGTACATGCAACCCTAGAAACCTTAGATCTATGTTTTATCTAATATACATGCAAATTTGATTTTCCAAGGTTCTCATCCTAACTAGCATGTTGCTTGGACTGGTAATATAAAAAACTAGTAGAATGACATACCTTTCTTGTTGCTTGGATTCCATAAGACCTTGTGAGCCTAGCACCCCAAATGTGATGCCTCAAATGCTTCACACAACACCATAACTCTTGGAATAGCTTGAGAGAAGTACACATGAGCACAAATTCGGCTAGCCCCCCTTTCTTCTGTCTTAGTTGACGATTTTGCTCCATATGAGGTCCTTTATATAGTGTGTCACATGTAGGGTTACACCATGTAAACCCTAATGTGCATGACTTTTCATTTCCCCCATGATCCATGGGTTTAAACCTCCATGGAGCACCCAATGGGTCCTAGCCCAATCTAGTGAATCATGGATCATAAGCCCACTATATAGAATGAATGATTTACATAATCAATCCTCATATATTTAATTAGTCTCTTTTGATCACAAAATTAATTCCAAATTAATTCTTGATCAATACTAATTAAATAATATGATTTCATATTAATATATTAGAGCTTATAATATATTAACAAATTATAAGTGTCCTTTTTCTCATTTTGTCTATCCAATTGTTATAATGCCATGCAACCCAAATGGACCATGCCAAGCCGGGTCAAGTACATACTAAATATAGTTATGGACTTAGACACCTTATCCAACAGTCTCCCACTTTGATAAGTCTAATAATTATAGTTACAGGTATGACTTCAGGATCTGACCAGCAATCGTAGCTCTTTCAAAGTCTCGCGGAACTAAGATGATGCGTCATTTAAGATAAGTGATCATATAATCCTCTGTTCAAGATATCAGCCGGAGTAATACATGGAACAACGTCGTACTTATTGTCCAGCAATTTGTTTCCCCGATTTCCTATTTGTTTGACATAGAACTTAATTGAACACATCAATTTTAGTTCTGACCGGGCCCAACACATAAGTCAAAGCAAAATCATCAAGGGGCCCAAGATATCGCTTTTAATCCTCCAAGGACTAAAATGAACAGATAAACTTCAACTCATATGCTTGTACTAACTAATCATCAAATCATACACAACAGCATATTTTATAACATCAAGTTACTGATGTGTTTTCGTACTATCAATGTACAAACAACTCATAGTCAACAACTCATATCTCTTGGTTTGAAGACTTATATGATACTACCGTCTCACGATCACTCGAGATAAATTCCATGAAGTGATACAAGTGAGCGTGGGTTAAATCCAATACTCAGAACTTATGAGCACTCATGAATGTTGCAGCAACAATTGCTATGTCTAATACAATTCAGACAAATCTACAAACCCAATTCATTACAGTCTTATCTCAATACCTACTTCCAAAGTATGATCGACTGTGGACAGTTTGAATAATATGATATACCATAACATAATTTTTCTGGAAGTCAAAACATGCAAACTGAAACAATAGCAAATGATTCACACAAGACAGTATCATACTAGTAAATAAAAAAACATTTTTTAATTAAACATCAAATGTCAATTACATTTCAACTATTACAAGTTTCAAAAGCTATCTAATTACTAAAACTAATATAATCCTTCAGCCTGATGCGCCTCGCATGCTGTAAATGCTTAACCCTACACAGTCCCTTCGTGAGGGGATCTGCTGGGTTCTCATCTAATGATACCCTCTTTGCCACGAGGAGTCCTTATTTTATCCGATGTCTAATGAAGTGGTATTTTCTATCGATGTGCCAGGATCTGCAGTGATCCCTTGGTTCCTTGGCTAAGGCAACTGCACTCTCGTTATCACAGAAAATCTCCATAGGTTCCTTTATAGTTGCTACAACTCCAAGGTCTCCAATGAAGTTCTTCAGCCATATCGCCTCCTTCTCCGCCTTGTTTGCTGCTATGTACTCTGATTCGCAAGTTGAATCAGCTACTGCCTGCTTGGAACTTTTCCAAGTGATTGCTCCTCCATTTAGGGTAAAGACCCAGCCCGACTGAGAGCGGAAATTATCCCTATCAGTCTGAAAGCTAACATCACTATACCCCACTATTCTCAAGTCATCACTCCCACCAAGGGTGATGTGACAACCCGAAACTTCTATCCTGTAGAATTGATCAATTATATCAATATTAAACTCGATTTTATCACTATTTAACATCGTTTAAGGGTTTGATCAAGTGTTCTAAGCCTCGTACAATCAAAGGTTGGGTTCTAGGTCGAGTAATACCAAGTCATAGTACAACATTCGGGCCATACACTCTCTCGGGAGGAGTGTACGGCCGTACACATGGGTGTGCGGCCGCACACCCACCCCTCAACCGTACACCCATCTCTATATAAAGGAGGAGACCCCTTCATTCACTCTTTTTCCCTTTTGGTTGCACACTACTTTCTCTCTTCTAAGAATCTTCACATAAGGATCCTCCAAAGGCTTCAAAAACGTAAGTATTTTATCATCTAGCTCGTTATACTTGAAAGACTCTTAATCTAAGCCCTAAATCATTGAGTTTTCATCTTGTTCATCACCCCTTTGAAAGTGTACGTCCGTACACCTTCATAAGGTGGCCGTACACACCTTAAAGACTCTCCAAGGTGAGAGTTTGGCCTCCATATGCTAGTTGGACTTGGTATTAGCTTTGAAACACCTAAAAATCGACATTTTGGGCATGAATGAAGAGTGTACGGCCGCACACCCCTGTGTACGGCCGCACATACCCTCTGTACGGCCGCACACTCCTGTGTGCAACCGCACACACATCCTGGCCGCACACACACTCTTATGGCCATACACCTCCCCCGTTCGATCATTTATGGCTCTGAGACTTAGTTCAAGCATTTCCAAGTCTTTAGGGTGGTTTCCCGTCATGTTTTGTCATGGAATACCTTAAATCTAATACATATGTGTACCATATGTTAATAGGATCCACTTGCATACGAAACACCAGTTGACACTCAGCATCCACACCGATCATACGCTCGAATCCTACATCAAACTGTGAGTTCATACCCCTACGCTTTTTCCGAGTTTTTCATGTTTTCAGGAGGGGAATTAAAGCAAAAGTACAAGGAAACTTGTGCTCAAAGTATATTATTTTGTTTAAAATAATTATATGTTCAGTATGCTTTTAACACAGAAAACAGTTTTACCAAACGAATTAAGAAATCAACTCGTAGAAACAGTTTTCAAAACTAAAGCAAAGAAACTTGTGAATCTTGTCATAAAATGTGATATTTTATAAAGAATTCATACAAAACATAAACAGGATTTTCGGTATTATTACATGCAAATTGTTAGTCTAAAGTTGGAGACACGTCCTTGGTAACACTCCCACCGGATTCGAGAGTGTAGGACTAGCACTTGTAACCAGAATCTCTTGTAGGGAGAGCGTGACTATTGTGTATAGTGTTGGATTAATGTCTAAGTCCATAACTATAATTGGTAAGACTTGACCCGACCCGGCATGGTCCATTTGGGTTGCATGGCATCATGCATTTGGATAGACTATAATGAGAGAAATAACACTTAAGGTTGGTTAATATATTATAAGTTCTAATATATTAATAAGGTTATTTAATTAGTATTGATCAAGAATTAATTTGGAATTAATTAAGTGATCAAAAGGAGACTAATTAAATATATGGGTTGATTGTGTAAATCATTCATTCTTATATATGTGGGCTTGTGATCCAAGATTCCTTATGTTGGACTAAGTCCATGGGGTGACCCATGGATACTCCATGGAGGTTAAAATCCATGGAGCATAAGGAATGGGTAAAGTTATGAGTTACATGGTGTAACCCTAATAGCCACCATATAAAATAATCCCATCGCTCAAGAAATCGTGTACTAATGTGTGAGTATGAGGGCTAGACGATTTCAAGGAGTGTTCAAGTTTCTCTCAAGTTATTCCAAGTGTATTTGGTGTTGTGTGAACCATTTGAGGTGTCACACTTGGGGCACTAGGCACTCAAGCTTCATGAAGACATTCTACATCAAAGAGGTATGTATTCTATCTTGTTATATTTATTATTTTGTATGTTAGATTAGGATAATACCTTGGATGTTCATAATTGTATGTATAATAGAGAAAACACAGATCCAAGGTATTTAGG